CCACGCTAACTCTGCTTTTGTCTTGGTGGGGCTGCCACAACCGGTGGCATGTGGCGTCTTTTTCGCCCCACCTTTGCTGAACAATGGAAATCCTGTAGATGGTTTAGGAGCAGTAAACGAAAAGTTACATAATTTGTTTGGAGACGTTTTGTGAATTGTTCGCGGGGAGGGAGAGCGGGGGGTGGGGGGGGAGGCAGCTCCCATATGAAAAGGTCGGTGATGCTCATCTTCTCGTTTAGGGGTGTAAATCAACGATTTTGTTCTCACTGACTTGAGGGTAAACGGAAAAAAACGCCACCGTTTTTAGCAGTCGGCAGTGTCTTTTAGGATGCACTCGATTAAAGCTCAAGCCACCAGATACCTTTAACCCGTCTTGGGTTATGTTTTGGTGACGTATTCCTGGATTAAAACGCTGCTGTTGGAGCCAAATCCTCTTTGTTTCATTGTTCTCCGAAGATTTTATTTCCTGTAATAGATATCAACCTCCCTGCAGCCAGAGAGTTTTTAAAAGTGCTTTCTTTCCCAGGCCAAAAACCTAGTGTTGTCACAATATCATCATGATACTGACTAATGAGAAACGTTCTCTAGGAGTGAACAAAGCCATACATAACTGAAAGTTATCTTCGCATCCGTAACGCATTCCCTAATGAAGTGAGTGAAAGTGAGAAGAAGAAGAACTGAGTGACATTTTTTCTTCAGTATGGGATCACTTTCTGGGAATAAATCTAGCCGGTTTAAGATAAACAATTCCAAATTCAGACCTCTCACCGGCTTTACTGTATAAGCTTGATGACACTGAACATTTAAATACCTTCGCACTGAGCTTTGTACTCTGTCACACTGAACACGTGGATTTCAAGATGCCACTAGAAGCTGAGGATTATTCTCGTCGGACCTGGGACCCGTTTCCCGAAGGTCCCGAAAAGCTTTCACACCCGGAAAGCCATAGAAAAATCTCAAACCTTATGAATACAGAGCTGTTTTATTTCCATATCCTTAACCTGAACAGAGGTTCACTAGACACAAGAAGTTCCCTTGCCTATTTCCTGCTCAGTGGAAAACCAGGGTTATTCATGCTTATTAAGCTAGTCCTAAGCCAGACATGGTCTATTTCGTGGGGTTGGTACTAGCGCAATCCCCCAGCCCTCCACTGAAGGTGAAGATAGTATAGTGCCCTGTAATCACACCCACCCCACCCCCAAATTCTCCCTCCCACTCCATCCGAAGGAGGGTTGGATATTCATGACCTTGGAACCACTTAGTGNAATAAGATTCGGGTTATTTGTCTGCTAACTGAGAGATGTTTTTGACAGGGAAATTTGTTAAAAAGTAGAAAGTCAATCCTTTCTGCTGGATTTAAGTCTTTTCTTGTTTTTGCTTTTTTTTAAACGCAAATTTCGTTGAGTGAACCTGTGAGTCTCCTGAACTTCCGGGGACATCGAAATAACCGAGTGACAGCGGACTTATTTTTTCCTATATTCTGTTTGCCTTTTTTCACCATAGACTCGGCGTGTCCATTTACATCATTTTCCTCGAATAATTTCGCCGTTTTTCGATTCTGAAAGGAGTCGCTTAACTATGTCTGAGAGGGAAAATTTACCTCAGGGACAATTTTAAACGTGATTTGTTCCTATCATTCATTGACAAATGCTTCCATGGTGCAGCAGTTGATCATTGATCTTACATTCTATTGAGTTAATCCACGAGAAACATCACATTGTTTCAATTCCTCAACTCTTTTATTGGAAACAAAGCAAACCCTTGGCAGCAATTCAAGTGAATTTCCCAATGCTTAAGTTTAGACTTTTAACTCTTTTAGCGATAACCCAAAAAAATCTACAACTCTACAGTTTCTGCTTGAATCTTTGGTTGAGGAATTTTCAATTTCAGCTCTTCAAAACTTCAGTTATGACAACTTCTTGAAGATCTTAAATCCAGTGAATGTATTTTCCTTTGCGCATGATGTTTTGCTGCTGCTGCTGCAACTACGGGGATAAAATCTGCTGCTGTAAAAAGTCAGCCAGGCGCTGTTAGAACTGTACGGAAATTTGAGGCCCACCACATCACCATATTGCACAGGGAACCCATCATCAGCGTTCTTGGAGTAGATCTCAAAGGTGGCGTACGAATACCTCAGCCAGGCGCTCCCTGTCATGGAACTGGTGACTCTACAAATACAACGAGTTCAAAATTAATATTATAAACAGAACATTCTCGAGCAATCAGGACACGAAATTAAGAAAATCTTCCACTTTGGGATATGTCGATATATGCGTAACTAAATGTACCAAAATTAATGAAAGCAATTTTATGACAATAATGGAGGGAGAATTTATATCTCGAAGTTTTAATTTAAATGAAAAGGTTAAAAAAAGATTCAGGCATATAGGTGTATTGCGGCTTGAGCCTATTTCGAGAAGATACTACTTTAAACTAGAGAATTGGAGTGAAGAGGTGAAGAATTTAACGTGCTCACTAGTGATCAGGTGAGAAGTTCACTTACGATCGTGCGCAGCAATAGCCGCTGGAGGAAGAGCTGCAATACAGTCGGTAACTGCTACTATAGTAGTTGGATCTGAGTGAAACAGTATCGCCACTGTTGATTGGCTCTCCGTCCGTCTTTCCCTTGGCAGTGATGGTAAACATGAAGTTTTTTGCGCAGTAGGTCCATTTTGAGGAGGTGATGATAGTACCTGGGCAGGTTGACCAGTAGCAGTAAGATGACGTACAATAAAACCAATACATCGAGTAGCTGCCAGAAGTGTAGGCCGAGCGCAGAGCGATAGTGTCTCCACTGTTAATGGTGGGATATCTGTGACCTTCGAAAGTAAAAACAGAATCATGTGCAGTTATTTCAAGAGCAGAGTTTACAATTAAGACGAGGTGCAACAGTGGTGGCGAAACCAACTTACAAGTGTACTAGTTTTCGCATTTTCATTTCTTTTTAGTCGACTTTCACAA